ACATCTATTGAGTATAAATAAGTTGAAATTGATTTAAAATTCCCCCTTTTTTTTTATCAGCTAAATCTATTTTCACAGTATTTTATGCGCAAAACATATAACTCATTAAATTTGAAAATTTATTTTAAATAAATTTTAAATAAAATTGGAATAATCAGAAATCGTAATAAATAGCACATAATCCTCAAAATTATTTTAATTTTCAAAAAAAAATTTATTTTACCTTTAAAATAGGCACGTATTGTGTAAGTTGCAATTCTATCAATATATTTTAAAGATTTTTATCCATTTGGGTTTATTCCCTTTTTTTTTCATTTACTTATTTGTTTAAAATTTTTTTTTTTTTGAAACTAAAACCTTTTCACGCATAACATGCGATTTATGACGCGACGTAAATGATATGACGCAATCATCCTTGTGCATGAGCGACTTTCCATGGGAAATCCTCCTAGAATTTAGAGGAATATTCTTAAACATAGAAAACCATTCCAAATTAAAAGAACAATACTCCTGCTTCAAGAATAGAATTCAAGAGGATTCCGTAAAAGGAATTTTCCTCCAAACACAAGAATATTCCTTTCCTTTGGTGTGAAAGTTAGAATTTCGGCTAGAAACTGGAAGGAGTCCTCCGCGTGAAACGAAAACAGACAACAACAAAGAAAAATTTTTTTTTTTTATCATATGATCCTAGTCTTATTCATAATTAATGAAATATGGACCATTGGGATGCAGCCGTCGCGCAACTCAGACACACGTGTTTACAATGCGACATAACAATATAGGGTAAATGCACCAGTGGTGGATCAGGTACCAATGGTGGATCAACAGCGTTAAAAGGTTAAAATATGCTATTTCTAATTGAACTAAATGTTTCTATCGTTTAAGGGAGGTGTATAGATAAGTTTTATGAAATAAAATTATTCGAAAATATTTAGGAAAATAAAGCAAGACAAAAATTGTTGATTTTATGCATTTTTATATGAAATCTTAAAAATAATTGTTTGTTCTAAAAAAAAATTTTTTTTTTTTTTTTTTTTTCAGAGTAGAAGTTGCTCAATTCCTTCCATATAGAATAATTTTGGAAAAATTTACATCATTAAGTTATTTTTGTGTAGTGTAAAGGGGTAAATGATCCACGACTGGAACAATGTCATTTTATTGTTGAAAAGGGGTGTGCGGGGGTGTAATCGTTACAAGCAGGTCGAAAACTACACGATAGTTTCCTTAAAGACTCATTTATTCATACTATTGTCAAGAGTACCCTACCTTTTCAACTCGAAAGATCTGTACATCTTTAAAGTCGAAATAAGAAATTTAGTAGTCTTAATTGCCCAACCACTGGTGCAGCCACCCTACAGTAATATAATTACATTCCACAATAATGTGTGTATGATGAATTTATTTTATATTTCTTTTAATAAATGTCATTTTTTTATATATTTTTTTTTTTGCAATTCAAAATATTGAAAGTTAGATTGTTTACGCAAATAATTTTAAAGTTATTTATTTATTTATTTATTTTTTTTTTTTTAAACGTTCCCTCCCCTTTTTTTTTATCAAGCCAAATAACCTTTTGTTTACATAAAATTGAACGAAAATTCCACTTTAATTTCTAGTATTATTTCGTTTTTATATCCCATTTCAAGTCTTTGAAGTTTTCAAGCAGCAAAAGTAAAGCTTAAGAATCTAAACAAACTAAGGAGCCTCTCGAATCATTTCTTATTAAAGAGAGTCTCTGTGGTTATTTTGAATGGCCGAAATTGTTAGGGAGTATCATTGAATTCTTTGTATAAAAGGAAAAATAAGAGGAAAAGAATAAAGATCGAATGTTCAGAATTATGTTATTTTCGAAGAGTTCCAATTGGTTACTTGGAAAACGAAACATAAAAATCTCTTTTTTTTTTTTTTTGATCAAGGGTTTTCAATTGATTGAATTGGAAGAAATTATTTAAATAACTGTGAAGAGTTTTATCTTAACCGATTATAAGGTAATTGAATAATCATTACACAATCCGGCAGAAAGAAAAGAAAGAGAAAAAAAAATAACGTTCCGTAGCTCTAGTCAAGATTAGTAATAAGGTAGAGGGGGAAATATCTGTGGTGCTTCGAAACCCAATACTCACGCAGGGATACACACATACAGGCAAATCCACAGAACCGGCCGACTTCATGTTACTCACATGTTTTCTATTTTAGAAGTATTATATGGGCATATTTCTAGAACCTTCAACTTTAATGTCCCTCGCATATATTTTGGTAATTTTAATAAATTTTTCGTTGGTTTTTGTTGGAAATATTAATGCTTGATACAATCAATCATTTCCAAAATATTCCACTTTAATTTATTAAATACATAAATAATTATTTCAATTTTAATACGCGATTTTTAACAATGTCTACTTGTCCTTAACCATACTTTCTGATGCTTTAAACGATATAGTTTTAAATTTAATAAAAATTACTAATTCTGAAATATGTTTTTTCAATGTTAATTAATCGGTGAACACATTTTCGCAGGGAAATTAATATTTTATTAATTGTGAAAAAATTTATAAGCTTTTAAAACTTGTCCTTCACTTTTAACCTTTTCGACCGTAATCATCGTATTTATGATTTTTCTTTTATAAGACAAGCGGCACGTTAAAATAACTTATGGGAAATCAAAGATCAAGTTACTATAATTATTTTGAGACATAATAAATTGATGTGCTTCATGTCTTCAGAAAACTATTATAAGTTAAGTAAACGAAAACACGCGTAGACAAAATTTGAAAACAACCGTAATACGAGTGATACTTGATGAAAATCATATAAAATTATTCGAAAAGTACTTGTATATATTTTCACATGTGCCATTTAACATCCCGTGAATGTGCTTCGGGAAAAAATACTTTATTGCAAAGATAATGTAAAAATATTCATCAATTACGGTCGACCGTAATCGACCGAAATTTTTTGGAAAGAAATTGTTATGTACTAAGTTGCCGATTATAATTTTTTTATAGAAACTGTCATTAATTATTAAAACCTGAAGGTTAAGTTTTAATGTTTATTTCGAGACACAAAAATGGATCCAAAAAATTCATTCTGAAAAAAAAAGATGCGAGAGAAAAGAAAAATAGAAAAGGAAAAAGAGAAAAGAAATTGAAAAGTTTACGAATATTAAATTTAAATAGAAAAGTCTATGAAAATCGTATGGTAAATTATAAAAATTACAATTTTACATTTTTAAAACAATTCACTATAATAAAAATCTATTTTAAAATGTAATGTAAATATTCAAATAAAAAATTTATATATCTAGTTAATTTTGGACACATGCTTTTATACCCAGTGCATTATTTCAGTATTTTATTATTCATATAAATATTGAAAATATTAAACGAATTTTATTGCTTTTTAAAAATTATAACCCCTTAGAAAATTCCCTTCAACTGTTTTTTATCCTAAAAAGCAAACACCTGTTGAATATTTTTTTTTTTTTACAGGTTAAAAATAATTCTCAATTTTAAATATTTATAACTTTTTGAAGACAACTTGTTTTATCTGTCCACTTGTATAATTGGAAAGCTTAGTTCTTGAAGTTTATGTAGACAGAGTTTCAATACTGTGCTCAAAAAAAAAAATTTTTTTTTCTTATTGAAAAGTTAAAGGTTTCAAAGATATGCCCATATTAATTATTTTCATACTTCAACCATTTTGTAATATCTCTGAGAACCTATTGAAATAAAAAAAAAAAATTGAATAAATGTGAACCTCCTAGTCTTTTATAAAAGTTGAAATCGAATTAAGTAACTTAAAAATGAAATTTACGGTGATTATTCGATTTGAATTCTTCAAATTGGAGCTTATTGTTTGTGAACAGACGAACAAATGTATGTGTCATAGAATAGAGTGCAATCAGAATTAAAGAAAATATTCCAATAATTATCTCTCTATGTTTAAACGTGAACCATTTTCAACTTAGCCCTTTTTCAGTAGCACAACTACAGGATAAAATATAATGAGTTGAAAACATGTGTGATTATATAAAAACATTATTATAATTCTTGTATGCAAACGTCAAATTATATTTTCAACTTAAAACGTCTAAAATTAAAAATAATAAAAATTTATCGAAATTTAATTAGTTAATCGTGAAAATGAATAATCCTTTCATTTGTTTTATTTTCAAAGTTGTATCAGAATTGATGTCAACAATGTCAGTTTGTTGGTTAAAATAGTTAATATCAATATAGTAAGTAAACAATTTAATTTACAGAAATAAAATTAAATGCTAAAAGTTAATTAAAACATTTTAACATTATTGTATTAATCAAAAACACGTAAATATTAATTATCAAAAAAAATAAATTATTTATATTTTATCATATTTTATTATTCAAAATGTTTTGCACCTATTTCAAACAATATATGTAAAAAGAAACAGAGAAATGCCATTTTTAATTATAATTTCCAGAAGAAAAATAATGTTTTCGTTTTTTGGCTTTCAACTCAAACGGCATTAAAATAGAATGAATCACGCAAGAAGACAATTGTTCTTGAATATATTTTAAAGAAAATAAACCATAAAAAAAAAGGTGTGCTTGCTATTTGGAAAATTTTTCATCTTGATAAGTAAGAATCGGCCGGTTCCGTGGATCCGCCTATATATATATATTTTTTTTTAACAGTTGCACAACTACATTCCGATTTTATAATTATCCCAACAATATAAAGAGAACATATTTTAGTAATAACGTGGGTAGTGACTCTTCCAGTCCGCATGGCATTGTGGGCTTGAATAAGATGAGAAGGGAAGGGGAAGGGAAAATAAAAGCATCGCAATATAATAGTACCCGACCAAAACCTCAACTCTATAGTGAACCTGATGAATTCTCATATTTGAATATTCTAGTTATTTAAAATTAATCCGTATATATATATATGTATTTATTTTTTTTTTTTAACACCTGTATTGAATATTTTATTACAATTATTATAAAATGGAATTACCAAACAATTTATTTTAAAATATCCATGTTTATAGTAAGATTCTATTGTATACTCTATTTTCTCGTCCATAGTTTGAAAATTTACTTTGGCGAATGGGAGCCTGCTCGAGAGCGAATTAGAGAAGACGATTTTTGGCCATATGACGCGACCCTGGCAATTGGCCAGCCCAAAATATACGCCGCTCAATCCTGGTATCAGGAATACCATTGGTGTGAAGAATCACAAAAATATTTTGTACGCGGGTTCTGGGCACCGGTAAGGCTACAAAAAAATTTGTCTTAACAACAGTACTCAAAATAAAATAAAGAAGTAACCTTTTCTTTCTTTGTTTGTTCAGCAAGGTTTCCGCAGTGCGATTTGGGTGCATGATAGCTTGCCACGCTTAAAGATTGTCTTCGGTGGGCTAGGCCAGGGAAAAGCACCTCAAACGTGGTGAGTCATATAACTAATTCCATTAGTTCCAACCTCTCAATAAGTTCAAGATTAACTTTATAGAAATGTCAGCAATAAGAAAGAACTTATTATATGTACCTGTTATCCCCTTCTTTTTTTTTTTAGTTTCTTCAAGGACCTGCCGCTCATTCCCCAGGAGGTGGGATGCCAACCGGCTCTTAGCGCGATGAAATTATCATTCCTCCAATGCCATGACTGGCAGGGGACATCCCCTAGAACTAGGGGATGGTGGAAACTGGTAAGCGTGATTTTTATGATTGCTTACATTAGTGTTTGGCATATTCCATCAACATGCTAGTGCACCAGTCTCAGTCACATTCGGTCCCCTTAATATTCCTAAACCTCCCGAAATAATTTTATCAAAAATAAAAAAAAATTCTTTTCTTTATCGTGGTCAAATTAAGGTCACATGTTGGATATTACAACAAAATTAAAATTGGAGCTTTCATAATAAAGAAAAATACACATACATGCATAATTTTATTCATTATAGATATTATATATCTATCCATACATATATATATACATCTCTCTTTCTTTTTTTTTAGAGACTGAATGTGGACCATAAATTTATGTTCGTTCCCATGGCTCGAGAACACAAGGAGCACGAGGGCAATGGAGAGGTGGAAGTGCTTCCACCAATAGAACTGGGTATAAATGAGGACAACCCTGAGAATTAGACAGCAGCCGGCTGCAGTCCTTATTATTACTCTTTTTTTTTACATATATGTAAGAACATATACATATACTTATATTAAGGTATTTCTCGCAATAGCATAGACTTGGCAACACTGTAAGCTGTAAAGTTTTAACCTCAAACCTCGTTGATTAACAAAAGTAAAATGAATAATTTTCGTAACTCGAGGGGCCAATTTACCAACAAACAAACAAAAATCGTATTTTTTTTAAAAAAATTTTAGAAAGTATATATATATAAAAAAAAGAAAACGGAACGCCGGAAACTGAAAGAAAACAGTTTCTCTTTATGTTTTTTTTTTTTTTATAACGTCGTTGAATAAAGTATCTTCAAAATAAGATGATTTTGAACAAATTATATATTACATATAATATTTTATTTTTATTATTGTATATTTTCAATTTAACTTAACAGAATCCACTATTTTTTTTTTTTTTTTTTTTTCAACGAGTAAGTGATTAAAAGTAAAATTTCTAATATCCAAACTTTTCCCGCTCATTTTACCAAACTCCTCTGCCCACAGCGCCGCCAAGCCTACGTTTCTTCCACACTAGCGATGTGTGCGCAAAAATGAAAATATTACATTACTTTTATTTACTGCATAAAAAAAACTGTACGGTAAAAATAGGTTGGGTGCGCGAAGAAGTATCCTATATCTCCTATGTAAAATTATACAATTCCAAATGTTTATAACTTTAAAACTAGACGGTAATTCGAGTTGAAAAATTTTTTTTTTACAATCGATAAATTCTATATTTATCAACTTATGTTTAGAGTTTCATTAAAATATTAACTAAATTAATTTTCGAGAGAAATACCAAAAAAAAAAGATTTTTTTAAAAAAAAAAAAAAAATAAACTTTAATTTTCATATTATCTTGTTTAAATTTATTCGAGTTGCTATAATGAAACCTAACTTGCGCATGCATTCGATCGGCACCATTTGTCATAAGTGTTTCGGGAGCACAGGTAAGCCCATGGCACAGAGAGAGAAACTAAACTTAATAAAATAATAATAAAAAGATAAAAAAAAAACAATTACATGCATAATTAACTTGAAGCTACTTATATCGGTTGGAGGTACTGGATCGGCAGTTGCACCGCCCTTCTTGTAACGATCCTTGATGGGGTTCTTCCTGATGATGATAGGATAGTCGTTGGCGTTGTTGATGTTCGCATTGTTTCATCATATCCGATTCGATAAAAAGCGTTTGCCTCCTCATTGATGATTGACATAGTGTAACTGCACTCGTTTGGGATAAATGTATTAATTATGGGTTTGGGCTTCACTTCAGAACTTGGGGAATCCAGGGCGACGCTGAGTCATCTGGTCTTCGGTGGCATGTGTTTTTCAATTGTGACAGACTTTATTCCGCCTTCTAATGTAGTGGCGGAGGTGGAGGGCTCTGATGTTACCGTTGGACTATCCAGGGCCTCTTTCAATGAACATTTCTGCATCTGGGGAGCGTCAATTTCTTCATATGGTTGTACATCTTCATCCGTTCTTTTTGAATATTTTGCATTGGAAATTTCAGAGTTAAATTTTATTTTCCGTACCCATTTTGAATATTTTAACATACCGGATCTTAAATATTGACGACATAAGAAAAATAAGATTATTATACCCAATACAATGAGCCAACCATAGGATCCATAAATAAGCTTAAATTGATTATTATGAACGTGCCTCCGTAATGCGAATTCTTGCAATTCCTGCTCGAGTTCATCCAGAGTTCTAGAATTGGTTTCGAAGGTGGAATACCTTGTCGTCGGTTCAGGAATCTTGAGCGAGCTAGTACCGACAATTGGTAAAAACTGAGCATAGTTTGATACGGTAGGGGATAGCATTGAAATGTTCAGATGAACTTCTGGTTCGTAAATTATTTCGGATTGGCCTGATTGTGACGTAGTGGCTGGTATTATTGTATCCTTCGTCCTGATTGAACATCCAGGGGATAATTTCAAAATTCCAACTCCTTCAAGATGGATTTTCACAGGGTTTTTAGCATGGCAAATTATCGTGAGCAATTCGGGTACTGCCATGGAGTACATCCAACTTGCCAAGGTTGGTAATGGTTTCCAGTAGGATTCTAGGCTGGTTGTCAGTCGAATATTACAAGATTTCAAAACATCGATGGTTGGGTTAGTCAGTAATAAAGGCTCGCAGGCGGGCCTTTCCTTGAGGTCGTATATTGGTGTTCCTTTTAGACACACATGGAAGGTGGTCGTTGCTTTACAGGATTTCCAGTCACGTTCTTCTAGGAGGAGATAACTTCGCTGCTCTTCATCGATTACAAGGTAATTATAATCCGAATGTATATATGCTCTTCCGGTTCCGTTTCCGAGCGCACTCTGAACGATTGGGAGGGGGTGCATTCTATAAGTCTGATAATTATACTTTTCTAGGAGTGGGACATCTACGAGCACCTTCAACTGATGATTTTCGCACGAGATGGTTATGGTGGAGACTTTTGTTAGTTCGTCGACACTGACTTTTGGTCCCCGCACTGGAAAAATGATGATGAGACCTGGATGAAGCTGGCCGAGTCTTGCATGATGTACAGCTTCTAGCATGGTGGATGTTGCTAAAACATTGTGATCTAAACCAAGTTTCAACGCGTTCATTACATTGTCCATAAGTTGCCGCTCCTTCATAACGTTTTCTATGGTGGCCCCTCCCGATACTGTGTCCAGAAAAGATTGCAGGTCCTGATGGACCTTTTCTAGCAATATACCATGCTGCAGGACCTGCGAATGCAATGTGTCTAGTTGCGATCTCATTACATGAGTTTGCTTGCCGACTAGATGAGAGAGGTTTGCTTGAGCTTCATTGAGGTTTTGGATGGCAGCGTCATAGTGTTCCCCATCGTCATAGGTTAGCACACCGGCAATGGGGCCGGCGATTTTTCCCAAGAAGCCTAGTAATGGAACACTCCTTCGTATCCGGAGCTGTGATGACAGTTTTCCAGGTAATGGTCTTTTAGTATTTTCTAATTCGTTGATTTGGTCTCGGAATTGCGATTGCAATTCCGAAGCCATTTCCCACTTGTCCTCCCATTGGTAATTCCTTATTAAAGTTTTACACCACTCTCTCACAGATTCGCATTGCTGCATCAGCTTATCCAGCCTAAGTTGCAGGTCATCGAAGTGTCTACGTTGTCGTCCAAAGTCAAGAAAAACTGTTATTCTCCAATTGCTGACGGATCGCTTCATCTCGCCGACGTACTCGTAATATGCTCCACTGCTGGAACTGAATGGGGTGACCTGGTAGCGGTCGTCACTAGGGGACTCGTTGAATTGGTCGGATCCTCGTTGTATTGGTAGTGCTATGGAGGTCAGGAGTAAACATAGCAAAGTTAGAGTCGTCATGATTCCAATCATCGTCGTTTCCATCCAATCCCTAAAAATTTAATTATTAATTTTTTTTGTCTTATTTCCAAAGAGGGAGGGAACCTTTACTACAAGTGGGCAACCATGACCTTGTCCCTATGCTTGGAAAATCTCTCTCCTAATTCATTTTCAAGGATTACGTTATTGTTCTGTGTGAATCCTACGATGGTGAACGGACCATCGGCCCGATTGTCAAATTTATTACTTCTAACTTCCTTGTAAACGTAAACCTGGTCACCTATCTTCGCGTCTAGAGGGCGTGTTTTTGTGTCGTAATTGGTTTTTGATCTCTCCTTCGCTTTGATCAGATATTTGGCTGCCATATTCTGTAGCTCGTTCATTCGAGTTATAAGATCTATTAAGTAGGACCCGTAAGTTTCAAGTTCGGGACCTTGCGGTAAGGAGCTCGGAATTCGCGCCAAGTGACCGAACACAAGTTCGAACGGAGTAAAGTTTGTGGCTTCATGAACCGACGTGTTATAGTTAATCATGGCAAATGGGAGAAGACGATCCCAGTCGTCGAAATCCCTTGCATAATGCTTAATATAATCCGTCAGCTCGATGTGGCTTCTTTCCAATGATCCGTTTGTTTGTGGTCGATAGCCTGATGTTGTAAGCTGCTTGACGCCAAAAAGTTTCTCTAACCTTCGCATCAGGGAACTTATAAAACTCGGACCTCTATCGGTGAGCACGCATCTGGGTGCTCCATATACGCAAAATAGGTTTGTTGCTACTGCGTGAGCAATGGTTTTTGTTTCGATATTTGGAATAGGGACGGCGATGCAGTATTTACTAAAATTATCTTGCATCGTAAGAATATGCCGGTTACCATTCGGGGTAGTTCGCAATTTTCCTACCGTATCTAGTGATACCTTGTCAAAAGGTAGGGCTGGCGTGTCGGTGATCAACATGGGTTCTCTAGTACGTGCCCTGACGAGTTTATTTTCAAAACAACTTTTGCAACCTCTTATAAACTGTGTGACCTCGTCGCGCATTCTGGGCCAGTTGTACCGTTCACGAATCCTGCGATATGTCTTTGTAATACCTTTGTGACCTCCTATCAAACTAGAATGGAATTCGGTAATTATTTTATGGCGTAGCTCGGTTGGGGGTACCTCTATTTTCCCGTGGCAGAGAGTAATGGTTATATCACCACCGCGGAAAATTTCTGATACAAGTTCCGACATTTTGGGTTGAGGAAGGGCACCTAATAGGTCGCCGGAATTGGCTATCCGACAAGATCTCTCATTGTCGGTCTCGAGGGCAGTTCGTAAATTTTTTAACCCCACGACTACATCCTTCCAGCAAATTTCATCAAAATGACGTCTTTTACTACCATGGAATATACCTTGTATTTGCCGCACGGGGTAATATAAACTTGTCCTTTTAAGGGTTTGTTGTCCCGAATGTCCTGAAAATCAATTTTTTCGGTGGCGATTAAAAGTTTGGAGATTGAGTCTATCGGTTCGCAATCCTCGGAAATGAAATGCGCCACGTTATCTCGCTCATATGTCAGGGGTTGGGTCCACTGATTCACAACGATTGGGGGGGTTACACTCGTGGCTGAAATCTTTGACTCTAGCGACGCCCTTTTCTCGTCATTTAAAGATTCAGGGTCAGAGCATGAGGAAAGATCGCAATGAGGGGCCTGAAAGTTTATGAAAGAATTCAATAAAGGCGCACACTTCACTTTAGTGTTATTTTCCTTCGGTTGCAACTTCCGGGGCATCATTTTTAATAGTCTGTTGTTTCCTGCCTGTTCCTGCACCGCCTC